ATTTTATTCAAAAATAAAAACATCATTGTTTTCTCAAAATCACATAAAGTCATATTATAACATCGACTGAGATAAAGAATAAAATGAAATATTAAAAACACGATGTATCTCGCTGCATTGCGCGAGTACGCTTCTAGTATATATATATATATTTGTAGGCTCTACACTTTTAAAGGTAGATATGATTAGATGTACGCAAACTTATCTTTTACATTTTTTTTTCAATTATTATAATACTTATTTTTATTATCTTATGTTTTAATAATAAATCGATTCATAACCATGGAAAAGTTTGTTTATAAGTTTATAAAATATACATGAAAAGAGGGTATGACAAAATATGTTGGTGATTTGTATCACTAATATCATTTAAGTGTAATGGCATTAATTTGTTGACCAATGTAATCATGATAAATATCGAACAAGTAAGGAATGTACGGAGTGCACACTTGTTTGAGTTTATCTTGATTTAGAGGCGAAGCCCCTAAACGACGGAGGTCCGAGGATAGCGGCCCCGATGGCGGGGTCCAAGGGGTGACAGCCCCTGGCTGGGGTCGAAATCCGAATTTTTTATTTTAAACCCGGTTTAGGGATTAAAAACTGTCGTTTTGACAGTTTCCGTATTCAATTCTGAATTGGTCATTTTTTGTCTAGAGAAGTAGGCATAGATTCATAACGATTTCTGCATTCTCAAGTTCGATAAACCACTGAATTTTATCCAATTAAAATTTCGATCATACCGTCGAAATACTTCAATCTAAAAGTGATATACGACTTTCGGTAGATTCCAATCAATTTTTTCTAACAAAATATACTCCAAGTATTATGAGAAGGAAATAAAGAGACCCTGGTCTTATCGAGAGACTAATTGGACCCCTTCCCACCACAAAATTACATCACATGGCACGGCCCATCACTGGTTTTACTTCCCGATTTCAACATTATTTGGGGGATAATTTGTGGCGGTCAAACCACGATTCTACTATTTCAATCTTTCTTCTTCAGATGCATGCAACAGACGTACCGTTTCTTGCTCACTCCCCCTTCTTCTTCTTCTCCTATTTCTCTATTCCCCATTTTAGATAAAGAAATTCAAACCTTTTATGTTTAAAAGTTCGACTTTTTCAAAACCCATTATCTTAAGCATGTGATCAATCGTGATTCAATAAAGAAAAGTTCGTTTTACAAGATACCCATTTTCTCAAGACACCTGAAAAGCTGAAATTTTCATGATTGTTTAAAGCAAGGATCGATCGTTGCACAGATTGTAAATCCGTTCGAGGGTTTTTTATTTTTGTGGAGGTTTTAGTTTTCTGGGTGATTATCAACCTAGAATTATCGATTTAGGTTTTCAATACTCTCTCCAATAAAAATGGGGGGAATGTCGTCTGATAACGTTCATGGACTTGTATTAGCTCTATCTTCAAGTGTATTTATTGGATCAAGCTTTATTATCAAGAAAAAAGGTCTCATGAAAGCTGGTGCTACAGGAACTAGAGCAGGTTTCCATCCCTCCCTCTTAGTTTTCTTATCTCTTTACTGTTTTAGAATGGAGAAAATACTGTATGTGTATATACTTTATGAATGTATGTTGATAATGGAGTTTAAGAGTTCTACTGCGTGACCACTTAATTTGGATCAAATCTTGTTAATTTGTGAGTTATATTCCTCTTTCATGATCATAAGTCATTATTAATCAAAAACCATTATTTCCTCTGCCAAAATCACAACTTTTGTGATGTATGTAATGAGCAAGTTGTTAAAACCACCTTGATGTTTGTGTTGCATATAAATGAGAAAGAAACTTTTGGCTAATCACATGTAATGAATAGTGTCTAGTAAGGCAATTCCAAACTTCCAGTGGCATTCTGTATTTGTATTAATATGTGTTAACTGTCAATCGAGCTGTCGGAAATATGTTTACTGAACATCTGTGGAGAATGTTGTATATGAATTTTGATTAAATTAAGTAAACCTTATATTTGTGGGAATGAATTGTTTGATTAGGTTCAGGAGGCTATTCGTACTTGAAGGAACCCTGGTGGTGGGCTGGGATGGTGAGCAGTAAGTTCGAATTAATTGCATCATGTATTATTTTGTTGTATTTTCTGTTTTCTTGAAGGATTCAACTGGCAGTTGTCTTTTTTATACAAAACAAGATTCTTATCAAACTATGGCTCCGTAGAGGTGGAAAGACTGTTTATCTGCACCAGAAAGCTGGACCTCTTGACAACTAGTATAGTTCATGAGGAAACAATGAATTGTAGTTTCTAGTCGCAGTTGTTGTTCTGTCTAGAAAGCTGGTTATGTCATAGGTCACATCGGATAGATTTGGACCATTTCTTCTTAATATATGTTGGAACATTCCTTCTCTTCTAAAGGGCTATTTTGGAGAGTGATTCACATGGTATCAAAACGAAGGTCTATCACCTGTGACAACTTTGCCTGTCTGACCTCTGTTGGAGGGGAGGTGTTAGAGTCCCAAATCAGCTAGACTTGAACCTATCTCCTCGATATATGTTAGAACATCCCTTCTCTCCTAAAGGGCTCTTTTACCTAAAGTGGTCTTTTGGAGAGTAATATAATGTGGTTCCACATGTTCACACAATAGGTATCCACCTTTGTAAGCACACCATAAATGTACAATTGCTATGCTTTGATATGTTAATGTCTGAACCATTTATCATAAATTCTGATGCACCCACAATTTTCTTCCTCATTTTATGGTTGATGAAATTGCAGTGATCATAGGTGAGGTAGCAAATTTCGCTGCTTATGCATATGCTCCAGCAATTCTTGTAACACCATTAGGAGCTTTAAGTATGATAATCAGGTAGTGTACCAAATTCTGGCGAATCGTATTAACTATTACAGTTCTCTTGATTCAAAGGCGACATTTTTACATATTCTTCTATCTGGTACCACAAAATCTTGTGCAGCGCAGTTTTAGCCCATTACTTTTTGGACGAAAGGTTGCATATCTTTGGTGTAGTTGGGTGTGCACTCTGTTTGGTGGGATCGACCACAATTGTCTTGCATGCTCCACAGGAGACCCAAGTTAGTTCAGTTAAAGAAGTTTGGTTCTTTGCAACGGAACCAGGTACGCTAAAGTAGAGTCACTTGCCTTCTAATTTTCGCCTTCTACAAGTCTTTTAAGCATAAATTTCTATCATTTTTCTAGGATATGTATATAGATCAATGGAAAGTTTAGGAACCGTAAATATTTTGAGAACCAACTATTCATGAATTATTCATCATGATTATACCTAAATATTCATGAATATTATGCATTTTCATTAATAGATATCGATCATGATATTCGTTGTGAATAATTCATGAATAGTTGGTGTCACTATTCTCAAAATATTCAAGGTTCTCAAATGTATATAGATCAAACAGTTGGCAAAAGAAGCGATGACTTCTGGTATCTACTCTAACACAGGTTTTTAGGGTCTTAACAGGATTTCTGGTCTATGCCCTCATTGTTTTGGTTTTTGTTGGCATACTCATATACCGTTATGTGCCACTCTATGGAGGGACACACCTAATCATATATGTTGGAATTTGCTCTCTTATGGGCTCCCTCACGGTTAGTTTTGTCTTATTTTACCTTTCTCATCCTTTTACGGCTTGCTGTCCTCCATCCCTCTTGAAATTTTTGTGGGGATGTAGGTTATGTGTGTGAAAGCGGTGGGAATCGCCATGAAGCTATCGTTTTCAGGAAGCAATCAGTTCGTATACTTCCAAACATGGTTTTTCACCGTGCTACTTATTGTTTTTGTTCTCATGCAACTCAACTATTTGAACAAGGTAAATCAGACAGATACCTTATACCCTTTTCCCCATAGAGATAACTATAAGGCCATGTTTGGGAACCATAAGTTAGCTTATTGAAAAAGCCCCGTTTGGTAAGCCATAAATTAGCTTATAAGCTAGCTTTTTGAAATTTTCAATAAGCTCCAGTGGCCTTTTTTTCCAATTCAACATGTCACTTTGGATCATTTTACATCGTCTTCTAGCTTATCAGCTAATTTTCACCAAATGTGACTGGTTTATCAGTTAGCAACTAGCTTTTCAGCTAGCAGGGAGTTTATCAACCAACAGCTAGCTTATCGGCTAGTTTGCCAAACATAGTTGAAGGGTGTTGCAATTGTGAGCAAAAGGTTGGGGACGAAAACAACCCCATTGCGATCAACAAAGAAAACGGCTGCTTACAAACATAATGGTTCTGAATAAAAAATATGCATTTGCAGGCACTAGACACCTTCAATACTGCTGTGATTTCTCCAGTTTACTATGTCATGTTTACAAGCCTCACCATCTTAGCTAGCATGATCATGTTTAAGGTGATATTACAGACGATAGAAAAGATTTAAGTTTTTAACATAGTTTTGAAGTTTCATCATCGGACTCTTGATTCTTGCTACACTTGCAGAACTGGGATCATCAAAATGCATCACAGATTGTAACTGAACTCGGTGGTTTTGTAACTATTTTCTCGGGGACTTTTCTTCTTCACAAAACTAAGGATATGGGAACTCCAGCCATGGAATTACCTAAACTTTCAAATGCAACAACCAGAAGCCCGAATCAAAGCCCCAGGCGGCCTGAACCGTGAACTGTCACTGCACAGGTGGTTTGTGGTGGTGGACTTGGTGGTAGACCGGAAGTTTTAGACCTGGACCCAAGCTCCAGCAGCCGGAATTCTGAAATGTCACTGGTGTTGGTGGTTTTGTGGTAGATTTAGAGGCTTTTGACAAGAACAGTATTGGTGAGGTAAATGATGTCAAGATGCTGCCGACAAATATGAGAATTCCTTTCAAACTATTCACAATATTTTCTCATTTATTTTATTGGGTAGTTTGATTTGTTAGAAAGATTTTGTTATTTCCATTAACTTGTAGTTCTTTTTTTTTCAATTTTTTAGATATTAAATATCAATGCTTTTAAAGTGTGGATAGTTTATTAGTATGATACAGTGTTGGTTTAATGTAATAGTTATTTCCAAGTTGCAAACAAAATAGGTTTCAGCAATGATTTACATTTGGATTTTTTATTGCAAATAGATTATTGTTTATTAGATATGCAAATGGATCATGGTTTAAAATTGTCATTGTTGGAGTTGGTTTTTGTATTTTTACAGTAGTCATGGTAGATTGCAACCAGACATGGCCAAAAACCGATCTGGACTGATCCAAATCAGTCTCGAGTTGAAACAGTAACAATCCGGACAGGTCTTGGTCCCGTCGAAAATACCAAGGCCCGGTTAAGGGCATTTGTCTCGGGCCCAAACCGGTCCTATATTAAAAAAACATTTTCTTTTTATTTACATTTTTAAATTTCCTTTTAATAAATTTTTAAAATATTTTAATGTTATTTTAATACACTTTAAAATATCTAATTAGGTGAATCAAATACACTTAAAAAGTACGTTTTATTGTAGTTTTATAATTGGTTTTCAATCAAATACACTTAAAAAGTACGTTTTATTGTAGTTTTATAANTTAAAAAGTACGTTTTATTGTAGTTTTATAATTGGTTTTCAATCAAATACACTTAAAAAGTACGTTTTATTGTAGTTTTATAATTGGTTTTCAATTAAATACACTTAAAAAATATATTTTATTGTAAATTTGTAATTTGATTTTCAATCAAATACATTTAAAAAATAAAAAATACATATAAAAATACATTTTTTTGAAAGAAAAAAAACCAGAGAAAAAAGGGATACGAGAGAAAAAGAATAAAGGAAGAAAAATGAAAATGGCAAGAAACTTTCGTCGTATGCATTTCTCACTCTTTTCCTTCTGAGCTTCTTCTAACCTCTCGATTTTGTCCTAATATCCTTTCTATTAAACAAACACGGGAGCAAACATCAGCTCTAAATCCTCCATCTTTCAAACCCTAATCGCAACTTATTTTACCATCCAAGGTCAGTTTTTTCGCTTTCAACTCTTTCTTTTTTGTGTCTAATCACATGTAAAAACATAGATTAGGGTTTCTTCATCATCAAGAATTGGTGTGAAGATCGAATCTTTTTCTTGTTCTTGAATGAGTAGCTCTAGTGGGTAGTAGGTAAATGATGCCTCCTCCAAGAAGGAAGAAATGGACGGAGGCAGAAGAAAGAACCCTAATCGATAAGTACGGAGAGATGGTCTGTGATGGGAGTTTATCCAAAATGAAAACTAGAGAGAAGAAATACAAACCCATTGCTTTGCACGTTAATTCGATTCACCATCTTGGTGATCCGATTGTCTATCCATGGGAATGGAGTTGGAAAGATGTCTCAAATAAAGTACAGAACATGAGGCACCAGTATTCTCTGGTGAAACAGAAGATCAAAAGGCCTGGTGGCAGTGACCCCGTGGTGGTCAGTGGCGGAGAGGGGTATGATTGGGTGGAAGGATTGACCCACTGGTCCAACTTTCTTCGGTATAAAGAGGTGTTTGGTGATGTTACACTGCCGTTTGGCGATTTGCCAGCAATTGGGAGCAATGGGTTTGATGAGAATCATCAAGAAATGGAGATTGTGGAGTTTGGGAATCTTGGGCAGGCGAGCAGTGGTGGTTATGTGGGTGGGATGGATGGGGCTCCAAATGGAGTAATGGGTTTAGAGTTTGATTATGATGGAGGGGAAGGACAGGAGAACTATAATGGTAATCATGTGAAGGAAGATGGAGATAACAATGGGTTTGTTTATGGAGAAATTGAGACAATGGGATCAGAAACAAGAAAGAAGAGGAAAGCTGTGAAGAATCTTGAGAAGAAAGCTTGGGGGTTTGTAGCAAACCAATTGGCACAATTAAGGGAAATGGAAGCTCGTTTTGAGCAGCGCGAAGAGGAGAGAGAGAGGGAGAGGCAGAGGAGAGAGAGTTTACGGATTAAAAAGGAGGAAGAACGCGAAAAACAATGGGAAGAGAGAGAGAAAGTTATAGAGAAGTTAAGGGAAGGGAGGAATGAAGAATGGGAAGCTATGGAGAAAGAGCAGGAAGAAAGAAGGCGGCAAAGAGATGAGGAATTGATAGAAGCAAGAAAATGGGAGGAAAGGAGAAACAGAAGGAGATGCGAATGGAAGGCGAGAATTGATGAAATGTTAAGTGAACATCGAGCAGAAATGACACAAGTTCAGGGTCGGATACTTGAGGAACAACAGAATGTTACAAACCAGTTGGTTGGGATGGTTTCGCAGTGGACCGGTGGAATTTCTGACAACACATCTGGCAGCAGTCATTATTTTTCCCAAATGATGCAGAATTTGCAACATGTTGGTGGTATCGTTGATGGAGATGCTCGAGTGGAAGGACATAATGAAGATGATCAATTTATCGTCGATGGATGAAAAACAAGAAAACAGTCATGGTGGAAAACAAATGGTTTACTTGTGTGTAGGCATATGTTTATATATCTATTCCATTCTTTCTTTTTTCCTGTAGCGATGTTTCTGTTGAGATAACCAAAAGTTGGTATAAAACTAGACCATAAATATGTTGAGTTGGTTGGATGATAATTGAATCAAGTCTTGTTTCTGGTGATAATTGTTTGTTAGGTTAGAACTCAAAAGTATCCAAATTGTTTCGTTTTGGGTTGCATTTTTTATTGTATAATTTCGTTTGGTTTCGTCATCACTGATCAAAAACAGAAGGAAATACGGTTAATTCATGATACCAAACCGTTTCCTGTACCAACAGCATTCTATATCTTTATTTTTAATCATACAAATCACAATGAAATGAATATGATGTTCAAGTTTAAGAGGAGAACATTCATCATGCCGATGGATTCTTTACAAATAGAAGCTTCTCATCCAACAATTCCAACATTGTTGGTGTTCGATTTGAGTCATCGTGTAATCAATCATATGGGTTTTCCGAATTCCTAAAATACAAACAGCCCACCTCTCATCATCATCAAATCAATTATGTTGCACCAGCATCAGCAGCAGCCAAGACATCTTTCTCTTAAGCACTCTATCATCATCAGTCACCTAAGCAACAACCATCCAAAAAACTCAAGAGTATCATAATTGGCAACACCAACAAAAACAATAACTTTATCTGTTCACAATTATTCAAAAAGCAAATGGGTATTTTTCATGTTTGTGAACCCCATAAGTTCAGCTCAAAGTTCTCCTTACAAACTAACAAACAACAGCATCTAATCTGAAGAAGAATGCATAAAAACTAATATTATTCCATGTTTGGAGCAAAATATCACATCCCCAAATCACCAACACACCCATCTCTAAATCTTGTTCAGAAATCCATACAGGAATGGACAAAGTTAGAGAACTACAGTCTACAAAACCAAGAATACCAATATATCCCACTTACAAAAATAACAGTAAGAAGACTAAAGATGGAAGCTCTACTTTCTAAACAAATGAAAACAAGAAATAGGGTGAACAGACCTGGTTAGTGAAGATCCAAAGGAGGGTGTGGGTGTAGAGGAAGAACACTCTCTGGGAAATCCGTTCGTTGTCCAGCAAGCGAGTAATATGCAAGCAATGAAGGGGGTTGTTGTTGCACATCAACATATCTATCGGAACTAATTAACTCCATATTCCAAAACGGGCGAGCCATTCCCTGTAATCCACCATAACTTTCAGTTGCGTGATACCCCTGAATCCACAAATACCTCAAAGAAGCTACATTCAGCACAAAGGCGGTAAGTGCTTGTTCACTGAAACCACACCCTCTCATTTCCAACTTCTGCAAATTTGGACACCCTTTTGATAACTCCACAAGTCCTGCATCAGAATCCCCAGTAAAACCAAGAAGCATATATCTCACATTTTGAGCATATTTTCCAACATAACCCAAACCAACATCCGTCAATCCACCAGGCCGAAGATAGATGCCTAACCTTTCCAACCTGCTACACCCGCAGAGCAAAGCCTGAACCCCGTTATCTAATGGTAATTCTGTAATTCTTTCTTCTTTATCGAGTAAAATCATACGAAAGTCATACAGTTTTTTCAAGTGGGTTCCTACACATTCCAAGGCTTCATTTGTGATATCTGTGAGATTTACATGTAAACATTCCAATTCGAGGCATCCTTGTGCCAGATCAATCAACCCTCTTTGAGAAACTAATCCCTCTTCATCATCGCCCCTTTCAATCTTAATCCTGCACAGTTTCTTGCAAAACTGACCAAGAACTTGCAATCCTCTATCTCCAATCACATCCCTTGCATCAAGAACTTCCAAATTGGGACACCTTTGAAACAAGAAACAGTGGGCATCTGTATCAAATAGTGCGTAAAGAAGATCCAGTTTCGTTATCTGAGAAGCAAAAGGGAGCACAACAGGAAGTTCAAGTTCACTCATGTAATTCAATGCCATAGACCTCAAGATAGGAGGAAATTTCAAACCAGCATATTTCTCCAAATGATCGCTGAATGCACCACCACCAAATTCTTCTAGCTTCACTGCATACCTAAAAAAATCAACAAGGTCCGTAACATCACATTCGCTGATCTTCACAGACACTAAAGATCCACTGCAGTTTTTTGCAATAAGTTCGAGATCTTTAAGGTCAAATTTAACAAGATCTGTCATGTAAAAGTTCAAGGACTCCATAGCTTTGTTATGCAAAGCTAATTCATGTAACCATTCCCCATCTTTCTCAACAATCAAACTCTCTTGTAAATAGAGAGTTTTCAAGTTATTACACAACTTACCAATTTGCAATAGCCCATCTGTCGAAAACCCAGAACACAAATCAAGCTTCAGAACCCTAAGTTCTTGACCACGAGTTCGGGTCAACAGGTCAATATCCGAATCACGAACTATCATACGCCGGAAATGGATCGCTTTTAAGCACTTCAAGGAACTCACGATTTCACGAACCCATGGCGTAACGTAACCACCCCAATCCTCAGGAATCAGATCGAACATGGCGGCACGTGGCTTTCCCTTTACAGTTAGCGATTCAAGAAGAGGAAACCGTTCACAGAGACGAACCGGCTTCGTGGAGTAACACACAGCAACCGTCACATGCTTCCGTGTGACACCATCAAGCTCGCACCATTTACGGCAAACCAAGGAGACCGAGCTCCGGTCATGGCAGTCGTGTATATACGGTACGACACAGTTGAACACCGTATCGGTTAAATCACTCAGCTCTGTTTCAAACCGACACACCTTAAGATCCTCCTGCATATCCTTCAATTTGAAAACCTAACCGCTGACTAATTAAACGAAAACCCTAGAAGCATAATCCTAAAATTAGGAGGAACTAAAAAACATAAGAATTACGAAACGAAACAAGGGGTTCTTTTGTAGGAATCGAAGTACAGTTACCGGCGAAACTGAGGAAGATGGATGAATTTGTCAAGAGAGAAGTGTGGGTGGCGGTTACGGCAGACAAAGGATCGGGCCGGCACTTGGGGTGGTCCCACCATCACCATCACCATCACCATGTAACGAACTCTTTGCTGGTTGACCTCGCCTACACATTTTTCTTACAGACCCCTATATTTATATATATTTCTCCTATACACCCTCCACGTTTAGTCCTTATGATGTTAATATTTATATACGATAATTATGGAGATTATTATTGTAAGGAATTGTTTCACATGAATATTTCCATCTAAGGATAGAACTCTTTTCACGGTTTGTTTGTTTCATATGTATATGGTTCACAATATGAAATCTTTTAGTTGTATTCTGTGTTTCACAAAAGAAATGTTCATATTATAAAACAAATATATGTTAATCAATACATCAAATCCAAGTTGTAGATGAAAATATATCTTGTGAAATAGCATATGTTGTCAAAGTTGTCATAATTTTATGGGTTCTCAAATGAAAGTCGACTATATGGAAAATATTCACAAACGCTTTTTCATTTTTCATAAGATTTGAATCGTTAAGATTTTAGGATGTCAAGTTCTATGGATAATTCAGATACCGATGTGTCAAACATGATATTGGAAAGTCATACCTCCTATCACCAAGATTTGTATAAGTATGAAAACGTATCGAAGCCAATTGTGATGTGAAAAAGGAATTTGGTAACAAATCAACAGCTACAACTGAAGTTAAAATCTAACGACAAATAGTTGCATCATTTTATGAACACAAAGATTCGATTTAAGAATTCCTCCAAAATCTTGATAGGATATTATTCTTTGTTTTATATTATTTGAAGAATTGTTTTCGAATTTCAAGCTTTCACATGATATAGAAAACAAAAACGAAGTGGGAATCCTTTATATTATAATTGTTGTCTTTAGAGACATATTCGTCCAATATTTCTTTTCTTCGATTTCGGGTTCTTGATTATTTGAACAAACTGTTTGTGATTTTTATCATCTTTTTGCTAAATAAAGAAAGTTGTATAAGTTATAACTTGATTGGTTTGAATTGCAATGAATCACTATGGTGTCTATTTGTTATGCTATCAAGAATCAAAACTTGCCAAATGGATTTTGGTCTACCGGTAATCGAGTTATCATTGGTAGGGGGTGTATATCTGGTAAAATCCAATGGATTTAGATAGATCTGATTCGATCCAATCATCCATAGGATGTTGGATTTTGTCATCTGATCTGATATGATCCAATTAATATTGGACATCTGATCCAGTCCAAATCAAATGGATGATTGGATCGGATCGGTTTCATCCATTGGATGTTACTATTGGTTATACATTGGATTGAATTAGATCCGTCCAATCTTTTGATCGAATACTCAACCAATTATTCTTATATTTTTTTAAGTTATTAAAAAACAATGTACATAATATCAACTGAAAGATATTATAAAATGTTAATAATTTTATATAGTTATTAATTTGATGATAATTGAACGGGAAATTTAAGTTGATCAATACCGTTTTATCGGATGTTAGACTGCTAAATATGAATGGCACCTAAATACAAACAGAATCTAAACATGTTGGAACCTAAATGCAAACGAGTTGGAACCTGTCATTCCAATAAAAAAGCAAAAGGTTGAAACCATGTTCCAAACAACTTTTAAGCTGATATCAACCTCTAAACATGCATTATTGTGTATTGCTGAATCAAAAAGCCATTCGCTTCTATCTATTAAATTGTGTATTGCTGAATCAAAAAGCCATTCGCTTCTATCTATTAAATTGTNGAATCAAAAAGCCATTCGCTTCTATCTATTAAATTGTGTATTGCTGAATCAAAAAGCCATTCGCTTCTATCTATTAAATTGTGTATTGCTGAATCTGTCAAGAAATCGATGCCTAATGCATATTTGAAATTAATACAAATTTTTATCAAGAAATCGATGCTAATACAAACCCTTTTTTTTTAAGAAATCGATGCTAAATTGCTAATGCAAATTTTTTTGAAGTTCTCGACCATTTAAAGTATTTGGCAGCGAGCACAGATACATAAATCGAAATAGAAATGGATGTTGAAAAATAAACCAAAATCGATGGAGAAGTCGATAAAGAGCAAAAAATCAAAAGAGATATCAATGGAAAGTAGAGAGATCCCTGAGATATATGCTCACATCTTTTTATAGAGCTTCTTTAACCCCCTCAATCAAAATTTTATTGCGTGTGAGCTAACCGACATCTTGTGGTTTATTTTAACAGCTTTGAATTTGTTTTAGAAGCTGCAAAAATAAGTGGCACAAAACCCAAAACTATCCATCACAACAAGATGTAATCACATTAACCCCAAAATATGCACTGAAAAGAAACACCAAAACTCTTCTGATCAAGAAAAGTCTCCAATGATGAACAAAAATTTCAGCAGCAAACCACTTAACACCTTCAATATATGTTAAGAAATCAAGTGCTGAAACACTTGTCATTGCTTTTGTTGATTATTCGTCGGTGTCCTCGAAGTAAGAATCCAGAATTTCTGAAGGGCAAGGCAATGTTGCAACACACTTGAACTGTTTTCACAAAGATGAAAAGGCATAATTAAACACACTGCATAATCATTTACAAACCCGGTAAGTCGTACAAACTTATAAACCGGTTTTTATGTGTTGTTTCACATATATGAAAATACAGGTTTGCTGTACCTTATGTTGCGAGTATTTCTCTCTTACTGCTTGAGAAGATGATGCTTTTCTGTTCAGCTGCAAGTCATGAACGGCAAGCACACAATCCTTTAACTCAGATGGTCCATACCCCGAATAGCATTGCATTGCCAACCCCTGAAATCATAGATTGAATCTTGAGTCTAAAGATAAGCCATTGTTAACAAAAAGTCATCTTTTATCATTTGAGCACAAGAAAAAGGACAATCTTTTCGCTGAGAATTGTTGTAAATGAAGATGTTTCTGACCCAAGGATGTTTGTCTGGTTGAAGTGTAAATCTTGCAAGAAAAATGGCTGAGGCTGCTACCATTGATGGCAAGAACCTTAAACAACTGTAATCTAGCAAACTTAGCTCCACAAGAAACCAACTCAAGAACTCAAATGATGGACATGACAACTGCATTCAACAAATTTAAATATGTCAGTAAGAGCATCTCTAATCCCCCGTCAAATACCCATTTTGCCGGTCAAATCCATTCCAACCGACCGTTAAAATCAAAAAGAAATTGCAGGTCTTAAATTTTGACCAGCAAATTTAGATGGGTCCACCACTATCCAATATTAAATACTATTTTAATATTTTCATCAATAAATATGAGTTAGTTTAGAAATATAATTCATTTTTAAATATAATAATTTAGCTTTTATATAAGTTATATATATTATTATCTAACATATATTATATATCTAAAAAACATATTAGAATTTGTATTTTTCTATTTTAACTACTCTTTATTAAATAAATCGTTTGTAAAATTTACATTTAACAAAAAACTAATCATTTATTATCATCATATGTATTTACAAGTTATAATTATTGTTATTAAAAAAAGTTTAATAATAAATTAAATATGTTGTTTTAATATGGGGTCCATGGTTTTTTATAGATGCAGTTGGAGTTGAGTTGTTTTTCTGTGTCAATGTTTATGGTGTTGGTTTTAGTGCCAAGATTGGAGATAGTCACAAACCAAATTGTATTCTTGGACCATAGATTTCATGTATTCGACTCAGTATAATAGATTGTAAGGTTAGAGCATTGAAGTAGGCATACCAGGCTATCTTCTTGGGCAGCTCTAATGAAGATCCTGCAAACCCAATGCGTGAAAACTGGTAAACAATGGTTTTAAACGTATGGGCATTAATAACAACCATCACAACACATACATACCTAAGAAAAGTTTTTGGTGTTGGATTGTTGAGTTCCGAATTCAAATATTTGAGCAAGTCTCCCTCCATTTGAACCACCTACAAGATTCAAACACAAAATACTTAAAAATCTTTGTTATAGAGTAATTGAATAATACACAGAAGTTGGAAACTTTAGAGCAATCACTGTAACATTAGTCATCCAGATGGTTCATCTAGACATGCACTTCAAAATAGTGCATATTTCCTATGTAAATTTTATTCACTGATATGTCTTTTTGTTTTACAAATAAACCAAACTAACACGGTGAATCCCACTATGTAGAACTGACCTCTACCTTAAAGAGTAAAGTGACTGTTTTCATGAACGTTTTTCTCTTATACAAATGAAAAAGATAAAAAGTAAATGGCTAAAAGAACCATGAACCAACCTCTTCTTTAGTATACGTATTGTCTGTTATATAACAATAATCTTCAACATGGGGAGGGCTAATCTCCTCAAATTTCCTAAGACAAGCAAGGAAAAAGAATATAAACAAAACCAATCATGAGAAAACAATGATATAACAAAAGAACTTAAACAGGCTTATGAGCATACGAGGCTACAAGCATGCTTGATACACCGAGAAGCTGGAGCTTGTTCCTGCTCAATGAATGTGAAGATAGGAATCTGTCAATGTAGGAGACAGTGAGAAACAAGGTATCCGACACAAGTTTATACTCCTCTGCCACCTCAACCAACCAATCCACTAAGACCTCTCGCATTCCTACTGTCACGTCTTTTTGAACCTTTTCCATATAATTAGGCAATGGCCTTCTCTTTTCCTCAATCTAAATCAAAGATTTTGTGTTAGTATAGTACCGCAGACAGCATCCTTAGACAAAACCCAATCACTTGCCCTGATAGCTACAATCAATCAAAATTCTAAAACACAAAGAGATATTAATGATGTAATAAAAGGGTAAGCACATATATAACTTAAAATGAGCATTTCTACTTTAGCTCAAAGCTCGGATTTCAAATGGTAATTTTCGATTTTAGCAATGCCATCATATGCAAATGATGATTGATTTATGAGTCTTCAGGTTGTTATTTTGTCAAATGGAATTAAGAGAACACCCATGGAACTTCAAAAAATTCAAAATTGTGCTTCAGGAACTCCAATTCTGTGCTTCTGAATTGGAACCAGATCAAATTGATTAAAGAGATGATCTATAGTAGCTCCAAACTTCAATTCTGGTCTGACAACCAGACCTCCCAGAAGCTTTATGATCTCAAAACCTCTTCTCCCACCAATCCCCAGAATAGGGGATGCATAGATAGAAATACAAATTTGAATCCATATTAAAACCCCACAATTAATTAGCAAATATAGAAATAACCAAACAAATGCCAATACAAAGAGTAACTACCTCCAATAAACGAAGATGCTGATATATAAGAGGTGTGTTCAAAAATTTCTTGTTCTGAATCGATCCCAAAGAGACATAATGATCACTTTTCACATACTCCTCAACCCCATAACCGTTCTCAGCCTGCCTCAATTCGGATATCGGTTTCAGGTTCTCTTTATAATCGGAGCTCTGGGTCAAGTTAATGTTTTCCGAATCGGTTAGCTCACCCAAAACCACTCGTTTTTTTGCAGAACGAATTTGGTTCAAAAGATGGTGATTCACAAGAAAGGGTCGCTTCCTTGACGCACGGTTGATGATGTTTTCTTTGGACTCCATTGCAGGGTCTAGAAAGGACATGTGTGTACCTTAACCACAAACAACAGAAAAAACTGAAATAAGAAGGAGCAACAACAACAGAAATAACAAGTACTACGGTAAACTATGTACTGAAATTAATGCAGTATCTGTATTCATATAATGACATTACATATGAACTTGTGAAGAAAACGTAGTGAATTAAAAAGCAGAGGATGATTGTTCAAAGTTAATAGACAAACCGAGATCATATTTTTTTAGCAAAACCAAACAACAAGGAGAAGCAACAGCAGAAACACGATTGTAACACGGCTACAAACAAACCCTAAAATCGATATAGAAAATTAGATTATTACCTAGTTGAATCTGGCGAAGCAACCCTAAAATCGAGATAATATCTGAGTGTTCAGGTGGCGTCGTCGCCGGCTGCCGGAGATATCAAAGAAAGATGAAAGAGAGTTGCAACAGATAAAGAGGGGGAAACGAGGATATGAGCGGGAATTAATTGTGTTTTGGAGGTATTATATTTTAAAATTTATGCAATACATAAACAATGACGCTTTTTATTTTATTTCTTTAAAAATAAAATATATTTTTTTATAATAAACTTTCATTCGAATATTATTTTTTTTATTTTTCATTTCCGGTTTGTTTAAAGTAAATATAAGATGATGGGTTTTTTTTCTAGGGACGGACCAAGAATTTGTGGATACAGTGGCATCATATAAAACGGTTGCACCTTTCACGAAGCTAATTTTTTTTTACCTTACCACCGAGGAACAATACGGTTGCACGTGCCACCTAACCACCCCTCTAGGTCTGTCTATGGTTTTTTCTAAAGTTCAACGTTTTAATGGACTCCAAAAATGCACCAAGAAAACTTGTTTTTTCGTGACTCGAGTGGTGTGGAGGGAAATTATTCGATGGTTAGTTTTGGAGCAGAGACTTCTCATGTTCTGCCTTTAATCTTGAGTTACTCTTTTGTTATATTCGGTTGCGTTTATTTTATTTTTTTTGTTTTTTCTTCGATTTTTTAATGTTGGTTGATTAAGCATTTATGTGATTATATTTTATATCTAACCTTCTCTACAGATCATTTATGATCATTCGAGAGATTAATCGGTGTGTATAAGTTGTTCCAAAAATCTATAATTACCTTAAAACAAGAGTTAAAGATAGATTTACAGATTTACAAATATATATATATATATCATAAGTATGAAGTAAAATCAATATATATATATATATATATATATATAAAAGTATTGTTGCATTTAAACATGACATCACAAAATTAATGGCATGAATATGAATATACAAAAAAAAAAGGCATTGGGGTGAGAGAGGCTCGAACTCTCGACCTCAGGATAACTCTTATTGCTATGAGACCTACGCGCTAGCCAACTGCGCCACCACCCCATTTGTTTTTCTTTCACCAATTAATGATTTATATTCTTAAATGAAAATTATGTCCACTCTAACCTTTAGAACCTGTTATGGGTAGCCGGTACCAGCCCCTACCTAAAAAAAAATTAATGGTAAAGTTTTTGAAGACATAATAAAATTTGTAATTAGGTCACTTAAATACATTTTAAAAATGTATTTTATTATGATAAAATTACATTCAAATATTCAATTATTTGAAAATACATTTATTGATCATCAGTATCCATGTTGGATTGATTTGAAGAGTTTCGGTCTCTTGAATTCTTTTAATAACCTCTTGGTCATCAATGTCGAGTTCCTCGTCGTCGTCATATTGTGAGTAAGTGTCGTCGGTATCGGTAGTTGGCGGTGTGCTTAGTCCCACGGTGATTTCGTTATCTTCCAAATTTTCTTCCATCTCTTGAATTACCATCTCTAACGATGTCGTGTGTTGAATTTTATCAACGCTATCCAAGTAATCCTGCAAACAGATGCAACACTCCATGGACTCCGGGATTAGTCTTGTCTGGCATATCGAAATGATCCTGCCACTAAGAGAAAAAACGGACTCCAAAGCTACGATACTAGCTTGGATTGTTAATATAGCACATGCTATGCATGCCAAAACCGGGAATTAAGGTTGCTTTTGTTTCCAAAAATCTAATAGCTCAATTTTCTCAAAATCTTTGACATCATTTGCAGGGCATGCGACCACAAAGTTAGTATGCACATACATATTTAGTTCACATAAATCGTTATCAAATCTACTTTGTTCGTTTGATGCATCATGTTTTCCATTGGCCATTTTGTAAGGCAAAAAGAGAGGAAGAAATGAGAATTGTAAAGTGGAAGCGATAAATGAATACGAGCTGAAGTCACAAAATATAGTGCAAAACAGAGAAATGTGAATTTTTTTTGCGCTTTTTACATTTTGTAAGTTGGTATGTAAATCCATACTCCTTTACACTTATATATATGGTTTAAAAGGGCAAAAAGACCAAAAAAAGGGGTCAAAAATCGGTCCTAACAGTCATAAACGACTAGTTAAAAAAATTCCGACTAATTTTCAAAAAATGGGGCCAGGTTGGCCCCATAACCGGTACCGGTTGGTCCGGTCCCTCAAATCGCTCCAAAAACGTGATCGGCCCCGGTCGGCAATCTTGTAACCGGTCCTTACCGGTTTGGCCATCATTATTCCCAGGTGAGTTATCTAAACTCGATAGAGAAAAGATTAGGAGAGAGACTCATTTTTACATATGGAACGAGGCATACCGTTGGAAACACTGTTTGGACCAGGTTAGTTGACTATGTGTGCTCCAAGGGGAGTTTATATCTATTTTACAGTTTTGTCACTCCCATGCTTGTGGGGGGCACTTCGGCTTTAAGCGAACATATAGAAAGGTCCTTGAGTATGAGTTGTATTGGCCAACCCTTATGCGAGATAGTTACCTCTTTGGTAAGAGTTGCATAGGTGCCAGATGATGGGAAAAATAAGTTCCTGAAATAAAATGCCCCAATTTTCCATATTAGTTTGTGAGATTTTTGATGTATGGGGAACGAATTTCATGGGACCCTTTCCCGCATCTCGTGGTAATCTTTATATTATTTTGGTCGTTGACTATATCTCAAAATGGATTAACGCAAAGGCCACATGAACTAATGATTCTCGTGTAGTTGCAGATTTTGTCAAATCTCATATATTTTCCAGGTTCGGGATGCCTAAGGCCATCATCAATGATCGAGGCACTCATTTTTGCAACAAGGTCATCGACGCTCTTTTCAAGAAGTATGGGGTTATCCATCGCATCTCCACCGTCTACCATCCACGGTCTAACGGACAAGCAGATGTGTCTAATAGAGAGATCAAGTCCATTTTAAAGAATACAGTGAATCCTAACCGGAAGGATTGGATTCTACGGCTCAATGACTCCTAGTGGGCTTATCGTTTGGCCTACAAGATTCCCATAGGAATGTCACCCTTTCGGTTAGTTTGCGGTAAGCCTTGCCACCTTCTGGTGGAATTGGAGCATAAGGCTTACTAGACGGTGAAGATGTGCAATACGGATTTGGATGAAGCAGGATCGTATAGGAAGCTTCAAATTCAAGAGTTGGAGGAGATAAGGAACGATGCCCACAAAAATGCTCGTATTTACAAGGAAAAGGCAAAGGCGTTCCATGACTTGAGCATATCACGTAGGTCTTTCACTAAAAGTCAAAAAGTTCTTCTCTATCACTCTAGATTAAAGTTATTTTATAGTAAGTTAAGGTCCAGACGGATAGGACCTTTTGTGGTTATTACTGTTTTTGAGAATGGTGTAGTCGAGATCCAAAATTTGTCTATTGGGAAAATTTTGAAGTTAATGGCAATAGACTGAAGTCGTTCTATGAGGGCTTTGATGAAAGAGACTTAGAAAGGGTAGCCTTGGACACGCCAAGCTATACATATTGAACCGAGTATGGTCTAACCAAAGACTTAAACGAAGGGTGTTGCATGGGAGGCAACCCATGGGATTTCAAGTTCTTGTTCCTTTTTGCTTTATGTCATTTAGTTTACTTTGTTAGATTCTCCAAATTCACTCATACTTCTTTATTTGTTTATCAGGTTCCACCCCGAATATTGAAAGCTCTAAAGAGACACACCATCTTCATGGATTCTTACATTGCGAGGTCACTCACCAAATCAGAGGAGTTTTCTGTTTCCCCTTTTTTTATGCTTAGGTTCTCCTCTACATGTTGAATAAATTGAGGACAATGTATGAATTAAGTGTGGGGGTGGGGGTCATTTGCATGATTTGGGTATATAACTGCTTTTAGGGGTCAATTTTTTGCATTTTTGCAAATTTTGTGCTTAATAGTTGGTTGTTGTTCGTCTTGACAATGTGTTAACATGTTTTTATGGGCTTAAATTGTTGATGATGATGAGTATGGATACATATATACCATGATTGAACTTGATTGATAGCACTTAGAGTCAATTAGTGGTAATATACCGGTCAAGAATAGACATTTGCTAATATGTTGAACAAGCTAAACACCGTGAGACTTTGAGATTATTTGACTAAACATATAATTTTAGTCTAAAATTCATTTATTGTGTGATTACGTCATGCATAGTTATGTGCCTCTAGAATTTGACTTGTCTCTCATTAAGACTACATGATATTTACATGCTAAATAAAGATGATAAAGACCATCGTTTGCTCATTTTTATATTAAACCATTAGCCTTTAGCCTACCTTTTTATGTTATGATTACCCTTTTGCATACTACTTTGAGCCTTAGCCTATTGTCTTTGTCACCCACATCATGAACCAATCCAAACACGACTCACCCAACCAATAACCAACGGAGTAATACCGATTTCTCTATATGCTCGAAAAGTAAAGTTTACATGTTGGAAAAGTTAAGGAAAAAAATTAAAAAGAAAGAAAAAAATAGAGAGAAGGAAAATTCAAAAGAAAAAAAAACTTATGAGAAAAACAATATGTAAGCGAGAAAGAATTAAAGTAAGACGGTAGAAATGATGATAAGGTTAAATAAAAGCGTTTCATCTCTATTACTTATCATCAAAAAGAGAAATGTACTTCAAAAATAGATATGAAAAGTCCCTTGTGGAAAGAAATTTTCATGGTTGAGTAACTGGGTTGTCCATTTGGTGTAAGATCCTGTCACTTTTTCCCAAAATACATCCGTACCTTACCCAAGCCTTATTCTATGTTATAACTATAAGTTCTTTTGATTTATTTGCATGTATTTTATCCAAGTAGTGGAGAGTGAGAGACTTTTCAAGCTTATGGTAGATACATGCTAGAGCATTGACATTTCTTCCTATCTGCTTGGCCAGACGCATTTCAAGTAATTGTAGTAAAATCAAATTTATTTTTTTAATAAATTATTCGCTAATTTGATTCCATAATGATTCGAAAAGAGTTTCGTTTTGAGTGATACACTTTAGCCCAAAGGAATAAATTGAGTGTCGTTTGTTAATCCTATTTGTGAGGGTTCTCGATATTAGCTTGTACCTTTTTTATTGGATAGGACATATAATTGATGATAAGTTGAGAATCTTAAGTTCATGAGATTCTATATGTGTTGACGTTCTCATTTGATTCGTCTTTATAGTGCTAACTTAAGTCATTATCGGAACATACAATGATCTAAGCATGAGGGTATTTGATAAGTGCTATTTTATGCGTTTTAATGTTGGAGTTACCTAACAATTATTGTTAATTAGATGTTGAAAATGGCTAATTTAAGTTTGAGTTGGTAGTTTATATCTACCCATTACATAGCCCACAAATGCGAAGATGCGAAGCCCAAATCAGTGGCAGCCAAAGAAAAGTGGTCCGTGCAGTGCCTCTTTGATCGAGAAATCCAGCAACTCCATCCATCCTGATCGGTTTCCAGTCTCGGGCGAGTTTTCCTCGTGGGTATATCCACACCTAAGTCGCGTGCGACAGAAGGTCGAACGACCACGTCCTATTTCGAGCGGGTTTTTGTTCGATTGGGTATAAAAGAGGCTCGTCGAATGGGGAATCCGAAAATGTTTCTTGTTTCGTTATTGTAGCAAGTAATGTTCGATTGAAATGTTTGGTTGATTGGTTAACATTACAACTTTGCATATTTTCGTTTTAGTATTTGGCGTCTAAATATTAGCTAGGAATGGTGTTTGCTAAATCTTAAGACGTCTGTCAGTTGTTACCAAGTCTGTGACTGGTTCCGACTAGTTAGATAGAGACTACTTTTCAAGCTACTCGTACTAGTATTCCATAGCTCTTTAGAGTATTCAGAATAGCTGAAAGCATCAACAATATTGAGTTAAGAATCCAAGGACATGAAAAGATGATCGTTAGTGATCCAAGATTCATAAATATGATCAATAGATGCATGCTTCTTGTTGTAAAATGATCAAGATTCCTAAACCCGACTAACTTGGTTAACCCAACCAACCCGTAGCGCTCAATACTTAATTCAATCATGAAATCTTCAAACCATTTGTATATGGTTAGAATGAGTTAGGATCATTTGAACCCAATCCAATCCAATGAATCTGATACCGTCATATAACATGGATTTAATATGATTTTAAGTTTTTAATAATATATGTACATTAGACAATAGACCAACATGTAATTAACTTTATTCATAATTATATTACAATTTCAACTGTAAATTTACTTTCTTATTTGAATGAACATTGTAGGTTGAAAATTTTCAAACCATAAACATTAATTAGTTTATTCAGATGCATTTAATCCATCCCTAATCGAGAAATGACGAGAGCATTTATGGTAACTTGATGGAGTAAACTTTTAACATATACTAGTGTTGCAACCGTGCGTTGCACGGTGGCGATAATATCATCTTCAAAAGAAATGTTATAGACTAAAATTTGAAGTCGTCTTCTAAATAAATTTTAGGAAAATGTGTGTGACAACTACTCATTAACATTAAAAGTTTTTAAGAGAAGTTGACAACAATCTTAGAACGATATGCTAATTTAAGTTCTCTAACTATGCTCGAGAACGGTGTTGCAATGTACTCTACAAATGTTTGACTAATGTTAGTAGTTTGTTTAACTTGAAATCACATTTTTAATTGAAATCTCGTATAAGGTGACAAAGTCACGGTTTCAATTTTTATAATAGATTTAATTGAAATCTCATTCGAAGTTATGAAAAAAACATTCTATAATATTAGTGAAAATTTGACCGGTACGTAAGCTGTAGCAACAGTAGTGGAAGCTCAAGACGATGCATGAAGAAGCACATCACCAACCTAAGATAATGGATGTTCCCTCATAAAACAATAAAATTAATATCAAGTGGGGTCGATGACCCACATATCAAATATTAAACTGATGAAAACAAAAACTATACTTTATAACATTCTATAATATTTGAATTGTAAATTAGAGAGGTGCGTCAAGCCTTGATAGTAGTAACACCAAGAAAACGGATAAATAATTACATCACCAAATAATATAATGGGGCATTCCCATATAAAAAATAAAAAAACCAAGTAAGCTAAAGAATCATATATTAGATGTAAAACTAAGAACATATAATATACTTGATCTAAACAAAAAGCCTAAAATTCATGGCAGATATATAAACTAAAAACATGTACTAAAATGATGGATGTTGACCAAGGAAGATAGTTGTATTTATTCAACGAAGTTGCAAAAAGACATTGGTTAGGATTTCCATCTTTGGTTTCAATTTTGTGTTAATACATAATAAAAAAACATTGAGATGGTTTTAGAAATAATTTTCATGACTTTTTAATCACAAGAATAAAATCTTATTTGATAAGTGCTTACGGGATGAATTTTTTTATCGGATGAACATGAGAAGGGCCAATAATTTTACCGGATAAAAGCAATGAAAAGGATAGAGAGTCTTACCCGGTAAGTAAGGATGACGACTCTTACCCAGATAAACACTTGCCCAATAACTTGTTGCATTCGATATGTTTTTTTTATATACTAAAATCTCACGTATCAAAATAAATTATAATGTTGAATCCTATCGGTAAGCACTTACCGGGTAAGCATTTAGGTAAACGGCCCCTAACTTGGCCAACCCAACCAACCTGGAGCGACTCGATACTTAATTCAGTCATGAAATCTTCAAACCGTTTGTATATGGCTGGAATGAGTTAGGATCATTTGAACCCAATCCAATCCGATGAATCTGATACCATCATATAAAATGGATTTAATATGATTTTAAGTTTTTGATAATATATGTACGTTAGACAATAGACCAACCTGTAATTAACTTTATTCAACAGTAATCTTACATTCTTATTTGCATGAACATTCAATGTCTTCTTTGAGTTTGTTAGCCCTATTTATATATTCTCGTTTTGATTTTACTTCGTTTAAACATAATTTCTTAGGTAGATTGTAAAATGATATATGGTATACTTTTAATCTAGAAATGAGTAATATTAAAATTAGGAATAATATTATAAAGTCGATGATGGTTCAATTCAAAGGAAGTGGAAATCATATTCAAAAAATGCACACTTTACCAAAACTTCAAAGTGAAGAAAATGTCATCATCTACAACACCCATCCTCATGCCACCTCTTTATCATCATTATTATTATTATTATTTAAAAGTATTATTATTTTATTAAAATAAAATTAAATCATACTTTACAGATCCAAATAAAAAGTTTAATAATTGATATCAAAGTTGTTATGTATAAATTAAATAATATGTTATACAAAATAAAATATCATATAATTTGCCTTTTTTATAAACTATAAATACAATAATTAATACTATAGCTGTTAATCACTTTCTAGTGTGCGCTTTAGTTTTCGAATGTCTCGTTTAGCGTCACTCGACTTTACAGCACCGGGGGTGTACTAATCAATGAACCCTCAAAACCTACTTTCTTTATAATGATTTTTTTCACTCCTATCCCTTCGTAAGAGAAGGATGCCAAGAGTTTCGCTCAACGGCCTAAGGACAGCCTGGCCTGCTGACCTTCCTGCAATTCAATTCCCTAATGAAATCAACTACTTGTCTAAGTGAACTAGCTGATATCTCTATTGCATAATGCTTCTCACCTGACTTCATAATCACTTTTGAAGCATGAAAACAGAAAAGAATGAGGGAGGGGGCCTCCTTCCTAAAAAAAGCCTTTCCAAGTCAACCTCAGAGTCGGAAGGTGCGCCAAATGGAAAATGCCTGATAAGAAAAAGAAATCACATTTGCAGAAGTGATATTTTATTAAGGGATTGTTTACCAAAATTTTTATTAAGTTCTGTATGGATAAATTTATCTGTCCGAATAAATTTGTCTGTCTAGATAAATGAGTGTTGTTTATTTTTTTTATATGAACCAACAGTCTGAATAACATAAATGATCGATTTACCCCCAATATTAATTATTTGAACATCAAAACAAAAMAATCATAAAAAGGTTGACGATGGAGTGTCTCATTTGGGAATAAGGGTGTCATTTTTGTGACTGAATGATGACAAAATGGTATGCGATTAAGACATGTTCTATGTGAATAAACCGTAAGTAAACAACCCAAATAAACTGTGCGAATAAGCTGGATAGACCAATAAGCCTAATTATAAGCTGTAAGTAAACAACCCCTAAATTATTTATGAAACTTTTCTTTTTTTGTAATTTATGGAAATTTAATTAAGAATTTGTATTAGACTATTTATTAAGAATTTCTTTTATATGGTCCAAGATGGATAGCGGTAGATTAGAATAATACAATAACATTACTAAACCGCCCACGCCCCCACTCTAATTTACGCCGCCCCGTTCCAATTTTCAAACCCAAAATAAATAATTAATCCCCAATTTCTGGATTATTACTTATTTAAAATATATTATATGTTCAACCTGATTTAGAGCTATTTGACAATTATTGAATAATTTGATACATGATGATTAAATAATTAGAATAATTAAAATATTCTTATGATATAGTGCAATAAAATTAGGGTTCTTAATGATTAAGGAAGATTCAAGATACAAAATTATTCAGAGGGTTTTAGAATCATTAAGAGACAATTTTTTTTTGTCAAACAAGATTCACCTCTTAACGATTTAGATATTAACTTTTAATGGAATTATTAAGAGGTAAACAAATAATCTATTAAAATATTGAATTAAAATTGGTTTTTTTAGATCCGACCCAAATCAAGAGGTCCGTACACACTGAATCTAATTGAAATTCATTTTTTTAAAATGTATTATTGAAAGCAATAATTGGATGAGACGATCCGACCCGAATCGGGAGATCAGTACAGTATACGGATTGTACCCGGCCAACCGGCCTTCCTTTTTATTTTATTTATTAATTTATTAATAACCGCAACAACACCTTCCTCTCGCTACCTCTCTCTCTCTTTCCTGCTCGCTTTCACATTTCACAGCAAACTCTGACTCACAATTTCCTATTCAGATTGCAGCAAGAAAAGATTATTTCATAGATATAATTCATTTGATAAAAGAAGGCAATCTAAGTCATCATTTTGAGAGTTTCTTCCATCTTCCACCACGAATTCGGCATAATTCTTTAAGCAAGTTGCAGGATCCTGCTCTAAAGGTTTAACATCCGCCGTCTCTTCGAATCAAAACGCTATCTGGCTCATGTTACACCTTGTAAATCCATTGTTTGTACTGGGTGTAACTCAAAAGACCCGCGGATTTGAAGGCTAGTAGAATTGAACTCCATCAAGTCGGTTGATTGGTGATTACTTCAGAATAGTTGGGTTTCTTTTGATTTTATGTACGCTTTGGTTGCTGTTAACCTGCCTATCTCCGGCAAACCCTAATCGTCATTTGAGGTTTCGAACTTTCTCCAAGAATCTGGGTTTTGAAGGTCCGCACGATTCTTGTATGGTCAACGTTGGGGGATTGTTTTCCTGGTGGGATGGGAGTTGAAGTTTGACTTCATCTTCATCAACGAAACAAGAGCTGAATTTCTTTTCATGGTTGGAAGGATTGTAGATTCTGGGATAAACATAAATTAGGCAGCATGGTTAAAGGGAATCTTTTCCATTATAGAAAGAACTCATGGCCTCCTGAAGAATATGTAAATCGGACTACTCTGCAACTGGTCAGTTCTTCTTCACCTTCTTCACATCTTGTTTACTTTAAGTTTTTGAAGGAATTTAGGAAAAACCCAAAGATAAATTTTGGAGATAAAGAAGAGCTGGATTTTGGAGGATGTTTTTTGGTGCATTGCTTCATTTACCAAAATTCAATATTTGGGAGTGATTTTTCTATCTGATTCTTGTATGCAGCTTGATTTTGATAGTGGTGCCCCTCCTCAACACGCATGGAGAAGGAAGTTGAACAGCCAAGCTGGTATTCTAAAAGAATTCAGTGTTACTTTTATGGAAGCATTGAAAATGGTATATGTTACAATTGTAGACTAACAAAAATATTAGTAGCCATTTTTATATCGGTTGATATTTAGCATTCTAAATATTGATTGCAGATGCGCCTCGGCATACGTCTATGGTCATATGTAAGGGAAGAGGCCTCTCATGGAAGGGTAACTCTTCAAACTTCATTATGTGCTGTTTTCCTTAAGCCACAAATAATCTTGTTTTTAACTGTAATCAATTTCCGATATTTACAGAGAGCGCCAATTGATCCTTTCAATCGTGAAGGCAAGCCAGCAGCAACCCAAGGGGTTCCGCTTGGTGGGATGGGGTAAGTTGTGGCAAAGAAGGATTTGGGAGTTTCGTTTATGGTTATATCTGAGATTGATGAGTTACTGTATGTAATCTTTTGCAGAAGTGGCAGCATAACTAGAGGTTTTAGAGGAGAGTTCAGACAATTCCAAATAATTCCTGGTGCATGCGAGCCGTCTCCTATGATGGCAAATCAGTTCTCTGTAAAGCTCTGCCTTTAACTTATTATCTGTGTTCTTTTACATTTCATAGAATGATCGTAAGAGTGTATATATATATCTGACTGCAGATTTTTATATCACGAGATGGTGGGAATAAGAAATACGCATCAGTTTTATCCCCAGGCCAACATGATGGGACAGGGTAAGAACATTAACACAAACATAAAAGCATCTCTCAATCTTGTCTTTTTACAGTATAAGGTAATAGCTATATGTGTATTTACTTCAGAACAGATCAAGGTCTATCATCATGGGGCTGGAATTTGAGTGGTCAGCATTCCACATATCACGCATTATTTCCACGAGCATGGACAGTTTATGATGGTATTCTTTTGGCATCTTTCTTTTTAGCAGCCAAAGCCTTCTACAGTTTCTTTCCATCTCCAAATAACACCTTTTTTTATTATTATCATCAGGTGAACCTGACCCAGAGCTCAAAGTGTCATGCCGTCAAATTTCACCATTTTTACCTCATAATTACCGAGATAGTAGTCTTCCTACCACTGTTTTTGTTTACACGGTATAAAATCTAAATGTCACACATACTATTATTGTAATGTTTAATTTTGCTAGATATAACTTTCTGTGGTCATATGAGTGAACTTACAAGATCTCTGCTTCATTTTTGTTAGTTGGTGAATACGGGGAAGGAAAGGGCACAAGTCAGCCTTCTGTTCACATGGGCGGTACGTCTGTTTCTGATACTAGTGATCACTATTCACTTGTGCACACACTCTTACCTATATCTTACTTGCTTGTTGTATCTATTCATTCTGCAAGCCGATGGTCTTCACGGAAACATCTCTCTACCCTTTGAGGTAGATGCAAGGTCTCTGTACATCTTACCCTCCCCATATTCTACCTCTGCGTAGGATTTACTGGGTTCGTTTGGTTTAGGTTGGTTTTACTATGGCTTCTTACATATTCAAGCGTTGCATTTGTATTATGCAGAATTCCATTGGAGGAGTGTCACACTTTACAGGAGATCATGTCAATGTGCCTTTCGTGTGAGTTTGATTAACTTATTTTTATTTCAGAATGAGTAGCTCCATTGTAATCTTGTCCACATAATCCATCATTTTTCACATCTATTTCTTCTATTGGCAGAGGTGAAGATGGAGTCTCCGGTGTGCTTCTACATCACAAGTAAGTTCAACAAAGTTTCCTTGCAATTCTGGACCCTTGGTTGTGCTGTTTCCCTGTTTGTCGCAGAGCTAATGGCATATTTTGACCACTTAAGAATTATAATTTTCTGATAGACCAAACCAGCAAACCTAGTATATCCCACATATAGGTGGGGTTTGGGGAGGGTGAGATAAAGTGGTTGTTTTCTGTGAAGACCCCGACTTGTGAAAAGTGTGACAAAAAGAGAGTCAGAAATGATAGAGATTTGAAAAGATGGTTAAGAGAAAGAAGTAACTAGAAGCAGGTACAAGAAAAGCATAACCTGTTTAAGGAAACTACACACACCTAGTCTAACTTACTACTATACTTTTCTGATAAGACGTTATAGTAACATGACACAAGGTGCTGTTCAAGTAACACACAGATCAACAATACAAATGAAATACAATAAACAATTCACTTAGATGATTACACGAAGGTAAACGAATATAAATTGTATATTTCTAGTCAAAGATTCTAATGGATATTACAATATGCAGGACAGCCAAAGAGAACCCTCCTGTTACTTTTGCCATAGCTGCATGTGAAACCCAAAATGTAAATGTGACTGTTTTACCAAGCTTTGGGTTATCCGAGGAAAGCTGTGTTACCGCAAAAGATATGTGGGGTAAAATGGGAGAGGTATAAATTCTATCTGCTCTAATTTTTTACTATGCCTTTCTAGCTTATAAATTTTTGTTCTTTTTATCAAATCAGTTCGTTTTAGAGTTAAGAAACTTGAGTTCTGTTCTCTTTTTGTTTATTTATGGATTAAATATTTCATTTGTATGGGATAATGTTTGGCTTTAGGATGGACAATTTGATCGGGAAAACTTCAACAATGGAGCAACTTTTCCTTCATCAGCAGGGGAGGCTAATTGTGCTGCAGTGTCTGCTTCGACATGGGTTGAACCAAATGGGAAGTGCACTGTAGCATTTGCTCTGGCATGGTCATCCCCAAAAGTCAAATTTATGAAGGGAAAATCATATCACAGGTATCTTCAAGTTCAAATCTACAAGTATGTGAAGTTACACTTGTATTTCTTAGTTCTGATTTGATTTCGTTTTTCTCCTCCAGGAGGTACACCAAATACTATGGTACTTCTGAGAGGGCGGCTGAGGACTTGGTTCATGATGCTTTAACAAGTAGGCATTCTTTATCTGATGTTCTCAAGTTCTAAACCAAGTAGACGAGTTTTTTAGTTTCTGATCTGTTTGGATGTGCTTGGTACGTAGAAGGGACTGTACTGGTGAGAGCGATGTAGGCGGATGAAATAATTGTGAAAGGTTTTAGGGCTTTAATTTGACATGGGTAGTTTAGTAATTTACCAATCTTGTCTCATCTCCGTGTTTTTGTTCCACCTATTTTGGTGGGAAAGAAAAAAAATGCATTTTGTCCCACTCAGGTCATGTCTTGTCCTGGTCTAATATCGTGTCAAATGTGGGACAACAAGTTTTTGTACTGTATTATATTGTCCTGCATATCAAACACACCCTTTATGATATGTCGAGAGTTTGCTTTGCTCAGATTATAAGAGGTGGGAAGAAGATATTGAGAAATGGCAAAATCCGATCCTGAAAAATGACAGCCTCCCAGAATGGTAACTTCTCGGTGCTTACATTCTTCAAATGATCTAACAGTTCTTGTGTTATGTCAAAATAGCATCCAACTAGTTTGCGGTTTATCTGATTCTAATGCTTGATTAATGTTAATACAATGTTTCTCTTCAGGTACAAATTCACATTATTCAACGAGCTCTATTTTTTGGTTGCTGGTGGCACGATTTGGATTGGTACTAATCACTGCTAAACTATACATGGTTAATTTTTTGTTTTTAATTTGAGGGGGTTGGGGGGTTCATTGTTTTTGAAGTTCAAGTTAATTTTGCATTTTTGTAGCTTATGTAATTAGAGGAAAATTCAAATGAGAACTATAAAATATTTTGAGAACAACTATTTCATGATGAATATCTATTGCGAAATTCATCATGAATAAAGAATGAATAGTTTGGTTCTGAGTTCTCAAACTATCTACGTCTCTCATTTAAACCTGCTACCATGTAATTATCATATATGACTTGGATATTTTTCTTCAGACACTCCACTACCAGCGGCAGACTTTCAAAGCGATCAGCATCTACCAAGGATAACAGACACGAAAGCCGATGGCTCTAATGGAAGTTCTCTTACAAATTCTAGCGAAGAAGATGAAGCGGAGGTTCCCGAGAGAGATGATTCTAGAAACCCTCCTTCAAGATCACATGATGACGATGAGGATGTGGGTAGTTTTCTTTATCTGGAAGGTGTAGAGTATATCATGTGGTGTACTTATGATGTTCACTTCTACGCATCATTTGCACTTCTAGAACTTTTCCCAAAAATCGAACTCAGTATTCAAAGGGAATTTGCAAAAGCCGTCTTGAGTGAAGATACAAGAAAAGTCAAGTTTCTTGCAGAAGGGAACTCAGGAATCCGTAAGGTTAAAGGTGCAGTTCCTCATGATCTTGGAACCCATGATCCATGGCACGAAATGAATGCATATAACATACACGATACAAGCAAATGGAAGGATCTGAATCCAAAATTCGTGCTTCAAGTTTATCGAGACTTTGCTGCAACTGGAAATCAGTCATTTGGAACCGAGGTCTGGCCTGCTGTTTGTGCTGCCATGGATTATATGGACCAATTTGATAGAGATGGAGATTGTTTAATAGAAAACGACGGTTTCCCAGATCAAACTTATGATGCTTGGACTGTTCATGGCATTAGTGCTTACTGTGGCTGCCTGTGGCTTGCTGCACTTCAAGCTACGGCAGCCATGGCTGTCCAGCTAGAAGATAAGACGTCTGCTCAGAAATATAAAAGCAAATTCTTGAAGGCGAAAAGAGCTTTTGAAGCAAAACTGTGGAATGGATCGTATTTTAACTATGATAGTGGGTCGAGTAATAATAGCAAGTCGATCCAAGCTGATCAATTAGCTGGTCAGTGGTATACAGCATCTGCTGGATTGCCGAATCTTTTTGATGATGCTAAGATTCAGAGTTCTCTGCAGAAGATCTTCGATTTTAATGTGATGAAAGTGAGAGGAGGTCGGATGGGGGCTGTAAACGGTATGCATCCTAATGGGAAAGTGGATGAAACTTGTATGCAGTCTCGTGAAGTGTGGGCTGGGGTGACGTATGGTGTTGCAGCCACCATGATTCTTGCGGGGATGGAAGAGCAGGCATTCACAACGGCTGAAGGCATATTTACTGCTGGCTGGTCGGAGGAAGGCTTCGGGTATGTATACAACTTTTTCTCTAGATTCAAGTGGGCACTACGACAAAATTGGCTTTATCGAATACCAAAAATGTCTAAATGTCCTAATTGACCATTTTATGGGACCAACCAGACAATCAGACGTCCTATGTAAAAATGTTACGAATGGATGTTATGACATATTTGGGCATCCAACAAGTTTTTTAGGACACTTTTGAAATAAAATGTGTTGTTAGCATTTTACAGAACACTTATGAGAAGTGTTTTTATGAACACATCATTTAAAACACGTGCTCAAATTATGTCATATAAAAAGACTTATAAGACGTTTTATTTCAAAAGTGTCTTAAGAAAAAACTTCTTAGAATGCCCAAAAACGTCTTATCGACTTATTGTAACACCTTTAAAGAGGAAGCACAAGTATTTGACTTTATAAACTTAAGCCCTATAAACCAGCCTATTAGAACATTTAGACATATTTAGCGTCCTATAAAGCTGATTTTGTTGTAGTTTTTAGTAAGAATATGTAGAACCCCATTAGATTAGCCTCCAAAAGAACGATTGAGGAGATAAGGGTCGTCCCAACATATATTGAAGCAGAAAGGTCTAAATCTAGCTGATGTGAGATTCTAACAGATCTAATAAATGATGTTGCTCATGTAGATACGCATTTCAGACTCCGGAAGGATGGACGATGGATGGGCACTTCAGATCACTGGTATACATGAGGCCACTTTCCATTTGGGGGATGCAGTCGGCTCTATCCGGACCCAAGGTCATACTCGATGCACCTGGTGCCAATGTAATGGACCGAATTCAATTACCTCCGCTTAGTTCACGAACATCGTTTAATGATAGAATGATTGGTCACAAAGTCAAGTGTTTTAGCAACTCTGTATTTCGGTGTGTGTGCTAGCTAACACCCCCATATTATTCATTGTTTTCCTTCTTCTGTTGGGCATTAATTCATGCCACTTGTGGTTTCGTTCTTTGTAGCTTTCCATAAATAGCAATGTCTTTTTTGGAAAAGGCTGCTTATGTTACTATTATAAGTACGAAAAAATAATAATCATGATTTTGATTGTGGGTATTTAAAGATCATTTTATATGTTTCCAATAATGATACGTAGAAAGTTAAACAACCAATCAAACCTCGACCTCGATCATAACGGGGAACGATCGGATCGAACGAGCACGCCAACTGAGCATATGGAATCGTTTTGACTCAAAAACATGGATCTTTTTTGCATTAATGTTGATATTCTCCCAAGTTAACATGCCCAAAAAGTTGCAATTCAAGATTTCATCAATACAACTTCCAATTGTTCTGTAAGCTGTTTTTCAAGATCAAGAATCCAGTTAGTTGGGTACACAATCTTTATTCCGATTTGAAGCTATCAACTTAATTAAGTAACCAAGAACCCGGGTTCGCTGTCAAAGCTCTTGAGGCCATGGAGGTTCTCCTGTGATAACTCCAGACCATTCATGGTCACCCAAGGATTAGTCGGCGCATGCAAGCTGGCCCGGAAATCCACAATTACCAAAAAAAAAAAAAAAGGATCAACGACTAAACATTAAACAACAGTCATCTGTCATTATTTAAATATCAAAACTCGGGACAGAATTCTTGAAGGCAACCAAGTAAACAGAGCAAGTATAACAGTGATTCCCCGTGTTCTTATTCTCACCTCCCCGGCCGCCTGTAACAAATACAGAAACACGATTCACAACCCATAAATTGTTGGTACCTGCTACTAAACTCTACCCGTCTACCTACAAATCTCACTGCAAATCACCCATCGTTTCTGGAAAATAAATGAACATAACAAATAAGAATAGATAATAATAGAAACAAATACAAACAACCATATCTTTCGTGATGCTATCATCTCCCTTTCTGACACGGTCGTTGTAGACTTTTAGTCGAGCTTCACATTAGAATACAGCAGGGTATCCCTTGTGAGAGGCATATTCATCAAGAAGCATATCTGTAAAGAATCAAAGAGTTAAGTACTAGTAATGTCTTCTTGTCTTGTAGGTTTTAATCATTCCAGAATAATATATAAATAAATAAATAATAATAATAATGTTAATATAGAATCACTTTATGAAGGTATAAAAGATTCTAGCAACCTAATATACGCTCATTGTTCAGTTATATGGGCTAATGGTTTCCTTTTTGGGTATTAAGAGACTGGCAGGCGATGGAAGGTTTTAGCGTTTTAATTTGACATTGGTAATTTAGTGATTTACCAATCGCATCTCATATCCTGATTTTTGTTCCATCTATTTTGGTGGCATTATTGTCCCAGTTCGATGTTGAACCGAACGTGGGTCAACAAGTTTTTGTTCTGTCATACCCATACCGAACGCACCCTAAACATACTAGGCCTATGCTTTTATGGCTGAGATGATTTTGAAAATGCAAGTATTTAAAACAAGTGCTTGGATAGAAATTCAAGGAGCTTACCCCCATGAGAGTGGCAACTATAAGAATGATGCCAGTGATCCATGCAAGGGTTCGTCTAACAAGAAGAACTTCAGCAATCCTAATTGCATCAGCATGCGAACCCTTCTCCTCCTCCAACCAGCGAGGAGATGGTCGTGTAGTGAACTTCACGGTTAGCATCAAATCCGACTCTTCAGCAGGTGATCCATCGAAAACAATAACTCCAACTATTTGGCCTGCACAGTGACACGAGCAAAACTTTTACAAACCATAAAATGATGCATACAGTTTCAATAACAAGTCAAACAAAGGATGCTACTGTGTTTTGCATAGGGAAAGACTAATCGACCATTCACATAGAATGTCTTCTAATTTTATTTCTTTTCAGTAAAATTGATATCACATAAAAGTGTTAAAAGTACACTTTCTGCTCACTTGCAAAAAGATGATACATTGCAAAAGCAAGTTGCAAAAAAACCCAGACATTTCATGGTTCATTATGTTTTGGTGAAATAAAGCTCAACAGGGCAAGTACGCATCATATAAGTATGTCACAAACTCCAATGATTAAAGGGGAAAATGACCTTTGTATGCTGTTTGCAAAGATTCATATATCTTGGATACCGATTTCACTAACAATTCAGCACCTTTCTGAACAATATCACTTGTTCCATAGTGCTCTTGAAAAGCCTACAAAATATCATAATTACAATTGAAAATGTAAGATAGGAAAGAAAAGTATCTTGATCATAAACGTACTTGGCAAAGAAATGATCCATGGTGGTGATCAACAAAAAAATATGAACTAATTGGGTTAGCATGGAAAGCCAAAAGAAATTATAAAATGGTGAATCAAAAACAGAAAAGAAGAGGTAATGCCTCCAAGATTCCAGGACATGAGCAACATCATTCCATGCATCGTGTGTGACCTGTCTAAGGACAAACCGTTTTGCACGCTCACACATTCAAACATCTCCGAATAATTCCCCTTCCCTTTCCTCATGTCATCTTTCCCCAACCACCATCTCTCCTAATGACCTCCTCTTGTAAAAGTTTGCTATTCTAGCAGGCGCACCCAAAGACCTAGGTTGGAGATGGCAAAACCACCTCAAATGTTGTTGTCTCAACCTCTCTACCGGTGTCACTCCAATCTTCTGTTCATCTTCATTTCCAGTCCTATCCCCAATTGTGTGGTCGCACATCCACATCTTGTGTACTTTGGCGCAACATTCTGCCATGTAAATCATAGCAGGTTTGACATAATCTTTCAGCTTCAATGCGACTTCTTATCACACAACACTCTTGAAACTTGTTTTGGATGACTTCATCCACCTTGTTTTCCTATTTTTACCAGCATCCTCATCAATCTGTACAAAACAAACCCTAAGTAATGGACTGTATCTTTCCCAACTACAAGTTGTCCATAATACTGGTGTAGGTCCGGGATACTCCTTTGTTCCATAGCCCTGGGGCTATTTACAACTACCAATTAAGAATTTTCTTGCATCTTCTACTTCCCTATTTACACCACAAAAAATGGCCCTTATATACTATTGCAATTTTAGATTGAAAAGTGCTTCTCCTAACCCCCAACTATGAGTTGACATCTTGCTTGGTCTCATAAATCATATTATTGGCAAATCCTTACACCACGGTATGTCTTCTTGTATATTTTGTGAGTGTGGTCCTGACCCTTGTGAAACCCTCTCTCTCTCATATAGTTCTGTCTAAAGCAAATGTAGTTGGAACAAAACAAGACCAAAACCGAAAGGAGGAATAAGCTTCCTGGTAGTAAGGACATGGAGTGTCTTAACGGAACATAAGAATAAATCACTTTCTAAGTTAAAATCTGAATAGAATAAAAACTGTGCTAAAAAGGGAATTATATCCCAACACTTCCCAAGCTAATGCTACAATAGGGCTCTCCAAATAGCCTTAAGCAACAAAACCTAGTTTTCTCAAGCCAATGGATATCTGCTGTTATTAGGTTTCAACTCTATCACTCTACAATTGTTGCATGGTTAGTCACGCAAGAAAAGATAGATACTGGTCTTAGCTAATTAGCTGGAGCAGGCTTTAGTCTACTTGCACTTCAAGAAGCTTCAGAACCAATTGATGTAAATATGTAATTCAATGTCCCCACTCGACATCCAACAGATAAATGGAATAATATATTTCCATATCAAAAGATGGACTCGCAGAATCGGTGCATGCTAAGCAAATTTGTAAAGGGTTTACCCACTGGGGCAATGGCAAAAGGTGCCATCGACATGCACTACATTATACATGGAACAGTTCCAAAAATAACAGCAGTGATCACTTAAAGAGGTTACGCACCATAAGCATGCTTGCTCATTAGGCTGCAACTCTGATTTGATATAAGAAAGAAAAAGAGAATTGTTTATCACCTTCAAACCATCGAATCTTCCTTTGATCAATTCTGATAGAGTAAGCATACTCTGTGACAAATCTTCATGCAGTTGGACTGCCCTCTCGACATTGTGGATAAGAGAGATGATGCTTCTTGTATATTCTCGGTCTGCTTCCTGCAAAAGCAAATGAACTGGTATCTAGCCAGAAAGATACAAGAAAAGCTCCACCAATACCGAAGGATAGATCAACACTATAATAGACAGATGGGGTAGAAAGGATGGAAGAACAACCTTTGACATATGAAGCTTTAACTGGACATCATTTGCCAAGGGGACAGTCAACTGTCCATTCAATGGTTCGGATGCAGTATTATCATACGATCCACCCAACCAGAGGGCCTGAATCAATAAATCAACGGAAAGGGAAATACACATGTAAAAAGGCACACTTGAAGAGATAAACACAGTTGGAGTACAGCATAATATAAGATAGAACTAACGAAGTTGGTCAAATCGCTGTCCGTAAATTCCATATCTGAAGGCACGGGCTCATTTAAAGAGACCAGAGACAACTCATCCTCATCTGCAAGTAAGCATATTAACAATTTGTGATCTGTATAAACAACTTTGTCTATTACACATGGCAAACGATGTGATACCAGAAAGTTGAATTTCAGCGTCTCCAATAGCAACATCACTCTTAAGAGCCCTACTGAAAACATCACTATCTGAACCATGCCCAGACAGCTTATCTGCATGCACCATAATGATTTCATAAGATAAAGGTCACTTGGAAGTAACTAATCATATGATACACACGAAAATAGGCACCTCCAAATCCATTGATCTCTAGCAAGAAAACGGCATGAGGTCTATCAAAGGGGTTAGCTACAAGCACCTCATTCAACTGCAAGATCAATAAGAAACTTTATCACATTGAACAGAAGAAATCAAGCAAAAAAAGAATTCTGAAGAAGTAGTTCGTAACAATATTGCCTTTTCAGAGCTTGCAGAGGACAACGTCGAAGGAGGTGCAAAACCAAGCAGGACTGAAATAGCAGCACCTACTTCCGGAAGTGACATTGATTTGGACTGCAGAAGAAAAAATAAAGCTGGCAATCATGATGTACCCTTAATATTTGCTCAGAATAAAAACTATGAATAGCAGATCTGTGGTTCCTCTCTCTCTCTCTCTCTCTCTCTCTCTCTCTCTCTCTCTCTTTTGTTTTGATATTTAAATACTGAAGATTTTATGCAGTGAAAATAACAGCAGACAAAGATATTAAAAATTTAGAGACTCAGGACAAAGAAAGCAATATATAGGCCTCTGAATGACCCAGAAGAGACCTATTATAACTGCTGGGTATTTTTTACAAATAAGCAAGCAAGGAGTCCAAGGGTATAGATCATTTGCTTGTGATAAAGAAATCCAATCGAGGCGCAAAGATGAGTTAAATAGGATAGCATTAACACTTGCAGATATGCTAGTACATGGGTGAGAGGTATGATCAGGAAAAAAGATGCACAGGATAAGGCTGGGTAGCAGAAAGCGAATTTTGAGGTGGATGTGCTGAAAGGTATGATCAGGAAAAAGGATGCACAGGCTAAACCAAAAAACCTGTTCCAGAATTAACATTTTTTCTCTCCATTTTGTGCCATTTTATAGCTTCTTTTCTTGTCATATATAGACAAATAGGGTGGATTTGATCAATGTTGTAAGCAAAGAGTCCAATAACCAAGTTAGAACATCATTTTAGTAATTGTGAAATACACTCAATTTTAGAAATTCATATATTTGCCTCAAGTCCTCAACACAATCTACTGTTTTTCTTATTATTAAGACTACAAAGACCCCACTTTACAAAACTCTTGTGTGTGCCACTGATATTGAAGAGCGACAAAAATACAATCACAGAAACTATGGGCATATTTCTATCAAGCGTCCGTCGGGCTACTAAGGGGCAAGGGCTTGTTTGTTAGAAGCTTAATGAGCTTAATGAGACTCACAGCTTATTCTGTCAGCTATACATGACCATTTGGTAGTGGCTTAATAATATAAAAAGTGGGTTATTCAGTAAGCTTCTAGCTAGGGGGAAGCTTTATACAGACAGACATTTTTTTCCAAACCTTCCCATCCCAATTAAAAAGCACGCTCCTTCCATCTATGAAAAAACCCTCCCACACAAAAACCTTCCCAATCTATACAGGCAGGTTCATCCATACAGGACTTAATGGAAAACCAACCAAACAGCCCCTAAACCATAGTTTAAGAGCAGAGATTACCTTTTGAAGTGGCTGCAAGTTCTACTTTAAATTATAGCCTTGGTCCCAGGGACCCATACTTACTGTTTACTTGGAAAAAAAAATTATAAAACCCCTAACATTAATAAATGATTCCAAAAGCATGGGTAGTATTAGTAGCTTGTCAATAACCTTAATGGTGAAATCAAGATTCTTATTTGTTGCATTAGATCAAGATCTTCAGGTTTTTTCTTGACGTGGCTACAAAGAAGAAGAGTACTAATTCGGAATGATACAAAACCGAACCTATAAAGTAAGAGCAACTTATTCGTTGAAATATATAGCCAAGTTCCATTCCTTTATTTCCCGTGTGCTTCATTTACTCAGACGTTTCACCTATGTATGGGATAAATTGCTATCACACGCACCAGTAATTGCATAATGCATAAGTACTCAGGAATGAATCCCAAACAGTACAATTTGTGATTAATTCACAAAACTAGGAGATAACTTCATTTAAATGTCTAAAAGAAAGAGAGACGCATGAAACAACTATCTGAATCAAAATTTTGTGAAAACGACGCCACAAAAACTGCTTAGAAGGACGAAATTAAATAGAATTCTTTCAGTCCCTGCCTTGATTGAAGTCGAAAACTACATAGATTCAGTAAAACAAAGGCAACAACAGCAAATAACAGTAATTAAAACTAAACCGAGCATCAGATTCAAAGAAAACAATCACAAACGAAGTTACCTCGGATAAGCGCGATCGAAAATAATAGTGGGTTGAGCTATCGAGGAAATAAACTGAGCCAGTTCCATCAGCCTACATCCAAATCAAACAGATATAATTCACCGATCCAAATCAAATTTCAATCAACAATAACTAGTACAAGGATCACGTATACAAACCCTGGATTGTAAGAACAGAATCGATGAAATAAGTAGCAAAATCAAAGTAAAACTTGGAGGTTTCTTAGAATCCATCGAGAAAGAGAAAACCCGTCTCTGATCCACGATTTACAAACGAGATCGTGATTTTTTAATCGTTTTCAGGAAGAAGAGGTCGAGAAGAAATCTTCACCGAACGGTGTCGTATCCGACAGGTGCTGCACCTTATGGACCTTTTGGGTTCTCTAGTGGGTTTTCTGGGCCATTTATTATCCTCTGAATATGGACCTTATTTGTTACATATATTTGAAAGCCCATTCTATTTGGATTTATGTACAATCTATACTGTCTTATAAAATATTTGGCTAAAACTCTTAAAACTCTTAAATCCGTTCATCCCTAAATGATTTCATCCCTATCCAATTTTATCCCATATCTGAATTCGTGTAACTAACTGCAGATAAACACAATCAAATACAAGATAAACATCTCATTTTAAATATAAAAAATCTAAAATATAATTAGAATAATCATTGACTTCTAACAGAATACTTAATTATTATCTTTATAAAATGTTATATTATTAACCCCAAAATAAAATTTTCATTATTAAACTTAAATTAAATTATAAAAAAAAATCTATATCTATATTATCTTATAAATCATTTGACTAAAACTCTTAAAAACTACTTTTTATGCTTAAAGTACTGTTTATTAATGCATATTACTTA